AGATTCCTCGAATACTCCTTCAATACGCATCGAATTGCTGTCGAATTGCTACAGAGCACTTGAAGCAAATTTCATGCAAAATGCTATATTGGGCTGTTTCTAATTGCCGAAATAACAGTGCGTGTCAGTTCGTCAAGAGGAGACATCTTCTTTCACGGGTAACTTAAAATCTGTTTTAATAAAGTAAACACGATAAAACGTAGAATAATTAAGAAACTTTCATTGCAACCACAAAATTTAAATTTCATTGCATGCTAGACAAAACGCATCGTGCGCTCAACGCTCTACGTAGCAAGCATTCTATAACACATCTACCCACTACTCTTATGTGTAATGTAACACAAGAACGCCAAATAGCACATGTAAAATAGTGTTACGTTATGGTAGAGCGAATCGCAGCAGTGGCTACAAATCTTTTTTTTTTATTATATTTTATATATAGTCTTTTTAATAATTTTACATTGAATTTCTAACTTTAAATATAGGTACTAGTTTTTGGCGCCTTTTTTCCTTTTTGATTATTGTTTCTGTTTTGGTTGATAGCTGTGCGTTGTTTGTGAAATAAACTGTAAGTACATTTTCTTGATTTTGCTCACTCTTTAATAGCACCCACCCGAACTCCATTGATACAGTCCGCTACATATGGGTTTATCGACTTAATCTTGAAGACATATTATTTTGAAATTAAAGAAAAATTATTGTTGTTACCGTAACTTGTTTCGTACGTCGTCGTCATGACTCGTAATGGGCCGTATAGGGTGCACCATAAGTTTCCGGAACTGGCGACTTACATAAACAATGTTTAAATAGTAAATGCAACATTTGAAAATGGAACTCTTTGGCTGTAGAATATAGTTTGTTTCATCTGACTGTCACTTGTCTTTATATGATTGTGGCGTCATTTTAGAAATTGGTTATCTACATCACCATAGATTTAACTCGTGAAAATTTTCGTAGCATGATTTTCTACGACTAAAGTGTAATTTAACAGCCCGGCGGAGCTTCGCTCGGCTTCAAATTGGTTTTGGCGATGAAGCACCATGCAAGACGACTATTTATAGCTGGTTTGCAGAATTCAAACGCAGTCGTATGAATCTCAGTGACGAATTTCGTGATGGTCGCTCGTCTACTGCTGTGAACAACAAAAACATCAATGCTGTGCGCCGTATGATCAAAACAGATAGGCATGTGACATACCATGAGATTTGGGCATCTTTAGGCAAAGGCATGAGTCAAGTACAATCAATGCTACACAAACATTTACGTATGAAAAAGCTGTGCTCTCGGTGGATCCCACACAATTTGACTGAGGCTCAAAAAAGGAGGAAGACCGCGTCACTTGGTGCAATGCCATGCTTAACAGATTCAACGAAGGGGCGTCAAATTTGATGTGGGACATAGTAACAGGTAACGAAACATGGATTTATTTATTTATGGATAGTTACGATCCCAAAACAAAGCAGCAAACGCCGTATCATCTTGCACGATAATGCCATTTCTCACACGGCCAGACATACAAATGAACTTGTGAAGGTGAACAACTTTGACCTTATGAGCTAACCCGCGTACAGTCCCGACCTGGCACCTTGTGACTTTTATTTATTTCCAAAAATTAAGAACCAGTTACACGGTCAACGATTTTCATCACCTGAAGAGGCTGTCGAAGAGTATGAAAAATAAGTTTTACAGATTGTCATGGAGGAGTGGCATAAATGTTTTCAAAATTGGTTCATTCGTATGAAAAAGTGCATTAACGCCAACGGAGAATATTTTGAAAAACAATAAATTCATTTCTGACCATTTACAGTATATTTTTCTCATTTATTCCGGAAACTTATAGTGCGCCACACGTAAAAGGAAAACATCATCGATTAAAATTAGTTTGATTATGTGTCAATTAGTTTTACCAACCTGTAAATCCTAATATTTAGTATTTATATAAGTATGTATCAACCGTCTTTAATTTAAAGTACGGACATATTAATATGTAATGTACTGTCATACTGCGTTTTATTTTCTTGTTACCCACCTAACAAATAGAACGATAGGTTGCAACAGAATATTTATGTTACTTTACTAATTACGTACTCTTAAACTTACGTAGTGAGCGGAGATTGTTAAAAACATAGCACTCCTTAAAAAGTTAAAAAAGTGCATCATTGTAGTTTGCCATTGCCAGATCGGCGGGATCGCCCTGGATGTGGTTTGTACAGGACTGTGAAATATGATGCAATAGATGATGTGGGTTGATGTGGCCTGAATATGGTGACGATGAAAGTTTTTTCATAAGTTAAGAATAAGAAACGAAAAAAAAACAAAAAATTACCACGTCAAGGGTTATGTGACTCAAAAAGTAGCTATGTAGGTAGTATGTATTTGACAAGTATCGAAAATTATATGATTTCCATTGGAATATATTCATATATAAATAATTATCTTTCTATGCTTTATTGAGCCCTAGTAGCTCTGACAGATACCTAATTGTAACAACTTAACTACAACTCGTATATTGTATAGTGACTCTTGGAGGGTTTGTAGCATCAGAACGGGGGTCCGTTTAAAGTTGCAACGGATTCTAAATGCGAGTAACATGTGATCCCAGGACTGGTTGCTTGTCAAAAATAATTAAATTAGAGTCGCATCCAATCCCGGGCTCAGTTCCACCTCAAGAGATGACGTTAAATTCGTATCGTCTGAACCCGAATTGATTTTCGATAAATTTTGGTATTTTGTTGCTTTAAGAGTAGATGAAACTTCTTGCAGTACACTATTCCGATGAAATAAATATTTTAGGAAACTAATTGATTTGAATTTTTATTGAATTGATATTCAATAATTTTTTATGTGAAATAACTCCACTAGTTTGTTATTATTATTAATACAAATATCGAACACTTTCGAATCGACGTCTTCTAGCAAACCGTGCCAGACGCTATGCCAACTAAGCCTATGAAAACTAATTGATGTTCGAAAATATAGAGAGGTCTATGTCTGCACTAGGTTATAATGTTGTCAGTGACTGACTACTAGACACTGAAATATATACATGTCGGTATTCGGAACACAACCTCTAGTTCTTGTTTAGATAACGACATGTATGGCCATAAATACTCATTTCTTCCAGCTGCTATACGAGTATGTAACTGAAAAACTATTGGCCAAACTCAAACCATACACTATCTTGGGATCACTATTGACAATAATATCTCGTTCCACCCGCATATAAAAAGTTTGTTTCAACGTATTCTTAAATTTGTCTTTGTTTTCAAACATCTAAGACATATCGTTGACAGCAAATCTTTAGGAATTGTATGTCTGACGCTAGTACAATGTCTGCGTATTACCTTTTATTTATCAATATTAATATGTACACGTGACGCGTGTTTATGTTATTAATTGTCAATATCCTAAACACGTGACACGTTGAATTTTCGGTTACGTCAGTAACGTTCTTTGTGTTGTACAAATAAGATATCTGAAAAATGAAATTATGCATCTTTCTACAAAATAATAAGTATTCCAACATAGTGAATTACGTCTTGGGGTAGCTAGAAATCACCTTATTAATCGGCCTATTCCACTAGTCCCTACTAAGCTGTTCCCCCTGGTGGGGACAAGTGCACTTTTTTCCACTCTTTCCTACCACGCCATCATTGGCTGTGATAAGTGGAATATCATTTAATCATATCGGAAGGAGCTTGAAAAAACCTCTTGAAGATTGCTTGATGATTTTTTTCAAATTCCGACTTTTATTATGTATTACAACTCAACTCTATCTGTACGACAGTTGTATCTGCTAATTGGAATCAATGCCCTTTCAAAAATCTCTTCTACCTCTAGCAATCGAAGACCTATCTCGATAGGACTTCGTTTGCACTTAATATTCTTCTACTTTCAAGACGAATTTTTTTATTGAAGACGTTATAAAGGCAACTTATAAGTCACATTTATAACGTCTTCAATAATAAATTAAAATTACTACTCACTAAACATGAAGCTAAAGAGGTATTCACGAAATATATATATTATACATTTATATCATCATCAAATATGAGAGGACCTGAATATGGAAAATATGAAAGAGTGATCAGCCAGCTTGCCTGCAGTCATCGGCCTGCAAAAACTATAATATATGGAGGGAATATTTGTACATTTCAATGAGGTACACCCTGGTCAATTTCCGCGGGAAGTAAAAAATGTTCGAAATTCCTAAGTTGGTTAACTTAGGAATGTTCGTTTCTTAAATTGGCCCAAATCGGGAATCAACCTCCTCATCAAGCGCTTGTGGGTTACTGGTGTAACGGGTCCGCTACACGCTCATAGTACTAATTGCTGTACCACCGAAGAGCATGAGCACACCCCGTAAACTGAACCCGACCACGCGCCGCAGGTCGAGCCCGACTCCAGGGCTCGTATATTACAAGCTTTGACACAGATTAGTTAACAGTGTCTTTGAAACAAAATTTAAATATATTTTTTTGTTATATTTTGGTAATAATATAACTGTTATGTTTGTGGAGAAAATAAATAAATTACGATCATATATATATATATATATATATATATATATCGATACATAGACATGTATTGATGGTGAAATCAAAATTGAAATTAATTGAAGGTTCAGTTACAGACTAACAACAATCAGGAGTACGAAAGAAACGGCAATACGTGTGTATTGCATCGCTAATGGCGCAATCTGCATAATATTTTTGAGCTAAAAGACAGAATATCGCATACTACTGATTTATTACCGTTGTTGATGATGAGAAATTGAAAAAATGAATTTCAAATTCGGTGCTATTACATATTTGTGTAACTTGATGAAGCAATACCAAAATTTTCTGTCAAGTACCCTAACGTCCTGTTCGCATTATAACATAAATCGATAAACATATCGAATAGATTAGATATTTTTTGTGATACCAAGGTATTTACACTTGTCAGTGTAATATTTCGAACACTGGGTGATAGGTGAACTGTGTTCATTTGTAGTTTTACTTTATTCGTGAATAATGGAGAAAATTGCTTTTATCTTGGCGTTAGCTGTTTGCTGTAAGTATTTGACAACCCTTAATTTTTAGAGGTTTTAACAAATAAATAATTTATTAAATATCTTTTTTTTATAAACCCAAATAAGCGATATGTAATTGTTTTATTATATAATTTATATTAACCAAATTGTCAATCCATTATTCATTATGGGTTGACAATTTCGTTGGTAATTGTATTACTGCAATTTATAAATTAATATAACAGACATTATATTGAATACATTATTGGTATAAAGGATACATAATTGCGTTTTACCGGAAGAGGGGCGATTTCCTCTACTAAAACGACTTTTCCGATGGTAATACCTCTGGAATCGCGAAAAAAAAATCACCTCCTTGTATTTTGGTCGTATGGGCTCTTTTAGTAAAGAGGTTTGTATTAATTGGGTGAAATCATCCCCCTTGCCGTATAACGCAATTAATTTAACTGCCTTGTATAGCTTCATTTCGTTGATATCACGTGTTACTTCATGTGAAGTACCAATTATGTGACACTTTATCGTTAAATATAGATATTAATTGGTAAATAAATTGACAAATTAGTCTCCACGTCCAAAAAACAAATTTGACATATTACATGCTATTTCAGACTCAGGTGCTGTTCCAGTAGACGAGAATTCAGGAATATCCAGGATTATTAACGGTGGTGTCGCCGGGAGTAACGATTTTCCATATGCGGTGATTAAACGTTTTGATTATGACATGATAATAAATAACGCCGTAACTCACTAAAAGACAAATTTATTTAAAGAGATACTTTTTTACCAGTAAATTTAAACGCAGGATTGTTAGTTAGTTGATAAAAAAAATATTTGTAATCATGTAATGAAAAGTGTGAACTAACTTATAATACAATAACACATTTTTTTGTAGAAAAAAAATCAGTTTTTATCCTCATTAACAAAGTTCACACCCTTGGTGTAATAAGGCCATATTTGGAAAAGAAAAACTTTTTAAGACGGAGGTTTTTAACCGTAGTGTAAATAAGTATAACAAGTATGGTAACTCAGTATCAGGGTTATTGCTAACGCATGTTTTTTATCGGTGCTATTGGATGCTATTATCGATGGATGCTATTGAATGCTAGTGAAGGTATTTAAAAAAAACACGAAAAATGTACATCCTTATTGAATATATCTACATAAAAAAGCTTTCTAGTTTCTTACTAGGTTCTTCAATGATTTTGTGACATTTATAACAAAACTACTACTAAAACTACTTTGATCATTGAAAATTTATTTATTTATTTTAAAAACAACAGCTGAGTTATTTAATGGTACATCAGTACAAAGTACTAAAAAAACCGACTTCAAAAGTCATTCATCCCCTAGTTTGTTACCCTAGAGGTGAAATACTTTCTTCAAATTAAATGGGACCACATCTGACGTTCCCTCTTTGCAGCAAAAAAGAATCATCAAAAAATAAATGCCAAATAAAAACAAAAAGAGTTATCGCGTAATATACATACAAAAAAAATATACAGTCGAATTGAGAACCTTCTCCTTTTTATGAAGTCGGTTAAAAAAACAACAGCTGAGCTTTTTCGGTTTACGGTCTGTTTCTGGAAGGATTGTAAATTATTCCATCGTGCCTTTTAGGTTATGTCACGATTCGAACATCCGCAATGAATATCGGCACCGATTAATGCGTATGCGTAATGATGTGGATGCAGATATTTTAATTTATGCAGATTATCCGCGGATGCGGATGCGGATGCTGATATTCGCAACAACCCTGCTCTATACAAACGTAGCAGCGCGTCATATATGTGTCTTACCCGCCCCGCGCCGTGTACGGACGCACACATTCCGCACATTCGCATAATAATAAATGGCATGTGTGACGACTAGCGCTTTGGTACACTTAGACATGCTTATTACATAGCATGCTCACGTGCTATTTTCGAGAACATGTTACCCAGTAGCGTGTGTGAACGTACGTTGCTAGAAATTTGCATGCTCATTAGTAGCATGCTTGAAAATCCACCGACTGTTGATTTTCGAGCATGCTAGCTGTAATGCGGGGTGATGGGGTGCGCTATATTAGCAAGTGTGAACGCGTTTGCTTATTATTTATCCGTAGATGCGTATGGGGGTTGCTTAGGATTTATCCGTACATCAATGGAATTTTGGACTTGCCTACGGAAAACGGAAATTAATAATAAATCTACGGATTTTCTTTCCATTCACTCAAATAAAAGTATAAAAAATAAAAGTTGCTTCGGCCGACTTGGGTCCGCAGCCTATTTAGAGACTTCCAAGTTTGACAAGGTAGATCATGCCCAGGAGGGAGGTACTCCGATAGCGGGATGAGTAATGCCGTTGGGTATCTCTTCTTCCAGAGACTTATTCGAGACTGGTTAGTTTCCCTGTCCAGAGGGTATATGGCTTTAATGAAACTATGGTGACTCTTTAGCTCTTATTCAGTAGCATGCTTATTTTTTAGTAGTATGCTTAGAATTAGCATGCTTATTTTTTGGAAATGTGAACAGTTTAAGAGCATGCTCATTTCAGTTATGCTCATGAGCATGCTTATTAGCATGTTATTAACTAGCGTGTGTATCTGTACCATTATACGAATGTGTGTGTCTGTACACGGAACGCGGCGGGAGGGCTCACATACAAGCCACGCTACTACGCTTGTGTGAAATTTTCATACTTGTCTTATTATTATGTTATGATTCTACAAAAGAAATGAGACTATTACTTTTATCTATACACACATCATAAACCCTCTATAATGTGTTCAAAAACCGCAAATTACAGCCAGCATTAAGATAAACTGTTTTGTTAGAACAAATTTCTTATCAATGAAAGTGTGATTATTGCATAATAACATCAAATTCGAATTCAATAGTATTACATTCAAATTTCGAACATCTCTGAAAAGCAAACCAATTTGATTCGATCTCATTTCTAATCAATCAGTCGAGATGAAGTTTTCTTCGAAATGGAATGTCAATAGCAAACAATTTTGACAAGTTTCACACGTTACTTGATATCTTAGATTATGGAAACCAAAGGACATGTTATATTGACATATATAAATCAGACGTTATATGTATATGATGCATTTAGACGTTGAAAACATAGAAAAAATATTAGAGCCAAAAGAGATAGCACTACATTTATTTATGTCAAACACGGGAATCGAAAATACGTAACGTCATCTTAAATGCCAACTGTTCTCATTATACCATTTTTGGAGTACCCTTTGATAACCGTTTCCGGTTGTCAAAGGGAAGTACATCAATTGTCAAAACCTATGTTTGGCCAAATGTTTTATTGAATTATTCGCATGCATTGTAACGAAATATACAAAAATATTGACAGTGAGAACAATTAAGTATTGATTAAAATGCATCGCTGCAGCATTAAAGGGTGCGGCAGTAGAAAATCGGAAATCAACCGAATGTTAAATTACCTGTTTGCCTGTTTGTTAGTATATTCTGATGATTGTTGATAACGATTATTCTGAGATGGTGTTGTTGTAGAAAGCAGATATATTATCGATATTCTGTTATTAAAACAATTCAGTACGACGTCTTTATTATTGCATTATTATTATTTTTAAAGTTTACCTACAAATGAAAAAAGAAAGAAAGATTGGTTGGAAATTATAGGATTGCCGAACATAAACATTGGATCAAATACCATCTTCGTTTATTCGCTCCATTTTGAAGTCAAATTTTAATAGAACTTTGTATGTAACTAGATTACATGATAATGCAATTCCATCGTAACATTTATTGGTAAATAACTTTGTAATTAATTTTGATTAAAACGTACGCTCATTACGTACTTAGTAATAAAAGCCTAACCTAACCTTGTATTAATCATACTTTGATTACAGTCAACTATATAAATTTGCAAACATAAAAAACAGTTTCAACATTCAAGCCATACATTTGAATGTCGATATTGACTTATCTATGATGATGGTACACAACACCAAATCCACCATTTGCGGAGGACATTTTTGGTTTAGGTAGGAAGGAACGTTTATTCCATAGATAGGGCAGCTCCTTTCCTTTATTTTTTTCCATCCTCTAAGCTTGATATCGAACGATATGATAGTTGGGGCCGACTCTAGTTTGTATATGACATAAAAAAATCTACGTTTGTGTGACATGCATGGGAAAAGTTTTTATTTGCCGCCATTTGGCCAATCATAACATGCGGTTCAGGAACCTTCAGGAATACGACATCATAGAGGGCTTATAATATGTGTATAGATAAAGCAGTGTATGTGACTGTACACAATTAGGCATTAAAACACTCGTGTGATGTTTTTATGAATATAAATATCATAAACCCACACTCGTATTTTCATGCTTTTCATTATCTAACAGTCACATAATCTACTATTTTATGTTTAAATGGGAGAGTTATAAAATTTCTAACTATTTTATGCTTAAATGGGAGAGTTATAAAATTTCGCATATACATAGTTTCACATAGATTGCGTTATTTTATGACTCTCATGGTCGTTTGTGGCTATAATCATGGATAAGAATTCATATTAATGGTTAATCATTTTTCAGGCATCATTACAATTGACGAGTGAGGCGACGCAGCCACTGCGTGGTCACAGATGTGGCGGAGTACTATTCACCCGTCAGCACTCTCTTACCGCTGCTTCTTGTCTCCATGATGTCGTTAATGGGTGCTTGTTTACACCATTTTTTATTTTTTATTTATTACACTTTTAAGTTAGGTCCAGAAGCTATATATACAGGCTGTTCCACGGTTTTGCGACACGGAGGGAAAATCTTTATATATAATATGTTTTGCTTCTAATAGACATTATTATCTTTTTAAAATTATGTAATACTGCATTCAACGATTTTTAAAAGTTGCTTGCCTCACCTGGGAATCGAACCGGCCAAATGTGAATAAATCCTGTATTTATGATTGCGATCGAAAGAGTCAAATAGAGTAATTCCTTTTAAGTAACATAGTATCTTAAATTAATGGACAACCATGAAGTTTTACATCTAAGTTTAGGAAAATGAATTATAATACTATAAATGCTAAAGGCTCATAATAACTGGAGAACAGCCTAAAATCTTAATCATTGTTTTCCTTACTGGGTACACACGTACCGACTAGATAGCCGGAGAAATCTTCAGATCTAACACTAGTAGATTTCTTTTTCTGATAATATATAAATTATTTACTAATAAATAAGCAATTTAATATTCTATGTGCACAAGTTAAAAACGGAAATGTGGCGTATTATTTCAAATATTCTTGAAAATTAGATAAGATAATGTATGATTAACGAACATATAAAAGATTGAGAATTTGAATACAAGAACATTAATCACGTTTTGAATATTTGTACAATTGATTGGAAATATCGTAGATACATTGTGAGTTTCTAGTGTTTTTTTAATAAATCGTATAACTAAACTTAAATTAAAAAAATATAATTTTAATAAGTATAATTCCTTTAAGATATTATATTACTTAAAAGGAATTATACTCCATCCAACCATTTATTTAACTTTTGACATAGGCATGCCTCTGAAGTTCCGTAATTATTGACATACAACCATAGACAACAATCCAATACTTCCTGGACTCTTTTATATTTTAATTTTAGTGAAGCGACGTGCTCTTTAGCTCCGATATTTATCGAGTCAACAGATTATTTAACGAAAATTATTCGAGTTGCCAAATTTAGGTACCTGTCTGATAAATTATAATGAAATGAAATAAATTATAAATAATTATAATAAATTCTTATTGTTTATTATAATGATGCGTCGGATTCTTCTCCATATGAACGGGAATCATCACTTGGAATCTCATTAACATTAATTATTAATTCTTGTGTACACAAATTTTCAAATGCATAATCACAATTCCAATCAGACAAAATCTTCTTTTTTGAAACGCTCACATTCACGATTAAAACTTCTTCGTGAATAAAATCGATTGTTATAAAAAATCGAATCAGAAACGCATTAGGACATCACTAATGGGTTAGAATTTGAGCTGTTAAAAGTTAAATAAATGGTTGGACGGAGTATAATCGTGAAAATCTACCTTTTTTGGTAAAAACAATGGATATTTTCACATTTAGTCGGTTCGATTCCCAGGTGCAGAAAAGCAAGTTTTTAAAAGTCTTTGAATGCAAAATTAAATACTTTTAAAAATAAAACAATGTCTTCATAAAGCAAAACATCCTGTCTGTAATTTTAAAGTACTGTCCCCGACTATCGCATAGTCATGAGACACCCTGTACAGTGTAAACGTTTTGAACGGAGTTTACGTCGTTTGATATAAGAGCGCCATTTGGTAAACGTCGTCGTCGTCGACGAAATTCTTGCATGTGTCTGTTATACAAATACTTTTGTATGATTTTTTTTTCGGTTTTCAACGCCGTACAGCGCGATCGCAGGTTCAAGTCCTGCCGGGTCGAAAGAATTTTTCTTGGTGTTCGATCTTTGTATTTTTTTTTATATCATTCATCATCATATCATATCATCAGTGACATGACGAACAAGTCAAATTCAAATTCAAAACAATCTTTATTTCATAGGTAAGCATTATTACACTTGAAATCGTCACAATGGTTAACCCATTAACGCCCAAATACAAATTAGCGTTAAAAATAGTAAAATTTTATTATGAACCTTTACAAAATAGCCTAGTTATGAGAAAATTATGAAGAAAAAAAAGATTTTATTTTATTTTGTATGAAAAAAAATGCCGTCCTCAAATGGGGACAATGGGCTCAAGCGGTGTCAAAAAATTTGTAACAGTATTTGTCGGTGCACAAAGACTTGACGCATTTTTTATATTGCCAACGCACTTATTTGTGGCTCAACAGCTATTTTTGCACATCGTAACTGTTAAGCCAACTTCTGAGCGTAGTGATCAACACCAATGTTCTGTAGATTTAGCACCAAAGAAGCTGCTGGATGTAAACTTTGAGTATTTGTTTCTCCAATAGTGACGTGATGTAACCATTTAACTGATGTAGCTGATCTAGCTTCGTATTATTGATCAGGAGGTGTAAACGCCATGTATTAGCTAGTGCTAGGTGCAGCTTGTAGTGGAACAAAACACACCACCAGTTTTTGCCTCGAATGGCAGTGCGATACAAAAAGATTGGTCAGCTTGATTTATCCTGCTGGTACGTTTGAAATCACGCAGGATACCCACGTCAGCTTTCTGTTTATTCACAGTGCTTTATCTTTTTACTTTCACCAGAGAAAGGACATTATCATAATCAGAGCTCATCGTGCAAATACTATTGTCAAGCCATGGAAAAAACAGAATTTGGTTGATTGGGTAAAATCGATAGTCAAAATTGGCACGGTTTTACTCTACATGTGTATTACAAATCTGGTCAAGTAGATATTTCTTAGTTTTTCCTTTGCAGACAGTTTCAGTTGTTCGATAACCAGTTTGCCGTAGATTATTAGATCTTGTTACATAAGAATAGTACTTCTACATTGGTGAGCGCCCTCAGTTCCAGGGGAAATGCCCCCTAAATCTATCTCCACATCATGGTCTCTCTCATCCATTACAGCTTCAATAGCTTTCTGAAGCCCATAGTAATAATTGTGGCTGCCAAATACCTGTTGTGTCATTATTTCGTTGAAAATTACTTATAGATGAAAAACTAATAAACTACCCCATAAGCGCCCAATGGCCCCAATTGGGGACACCGTTATATACCACCGTCTGAAGTTGTCAAAACACTATTTAACTCAATTATATAATTTTTATTTTATAGTATACGAATACATTTCAATAATATATGTAAAAAAAGAAATAAATTGTTGGTAATAACATACAGGAAAAACAACTAACTTTAGCGTTTCACGTGTGCGTAAGTTAACCCCACAAAAGGAACAGTCAAACCACTTTTATTTAATTCTAAACAATTTTTTTAAATAATAAAATTAAGATCCACTATTTTACTTTACATATACACTTTTGTAATGAGTATTAATAGTAATATAAAAAAATTACGGGTACTCAAAGTAGTGTCCTCGATTGGGCACGGCGGGCGCAAATGGGTTAAACTCTATCGCTCATTCGTAAGGCAGATTCCCCTGAGAAGAATGAGCAAGAAACTCTAGGGGTTGCTCTTTGTAAATAACATTTACAATATTTTTTTTTATTTGAGACATCAGACATGGAGACTACCTCCATGAGCTAAACGGGTTACTACCACGGATTTTTGTCATCCAAGTACGCAGAAGTTGTATAATAACCTTTAGTATAAAGTTTTTGTTTCACTATAGTTTTAAACCTCGTGAAAGGCAAATTTTGTATATCAACCGGAATCTTGTTATAGAAGCGTTTCCACATTGTCCCTTAAATGATTTTTTGACTTTGTGAAGACGACTGTCAAGAAAAGCTAGTTTATTTTTATTCCTGGTATTAATGTTATGTCTGTCAATATTTTTCATAAAGAAATTACTATTCCTTTTAACATAAATTACATTTTCATAAATGTACTGTGAGGCTAGTGTAAGAATGTTAATTTCCTTAAACTTATCTCTCAAAGATACTTTGGGGCCCAGATTGTAAATTGCTCTAACTGCACGTTTTTGCAGGACAAAGATTCTATTGATATCGGCGGCATTACCCCAAAGCAAAATGCCGTATGTCATTAGACTGTGAAAGTAGCTGAAGTAAACCAATTTAGCGGTTTCTACGTCTGAAAGTTTCCTTATTTTTCTAATCGCGTACACTGCAAAGCCGAGCCGTTTTGATAACTTACTTATATGTACCTAGAAACACAACTGTATCCACAAGATTCAATTTTTCGTTTCTAACTACAATGTTTGTAACCGTCTCTCTAACATTGGGTAATGTAAATTTCACACAATTTGTTTTTTTCTCATTAAGAAGTAGGTTATTAACAGCAAACCAATCAACTACTTTAGAGGTAGCGTTGTTCACATCGTCGTAGGAACATTGGTACCTTTTACGTCTACGTTTTAGTCGTACGCCTGGTAGTAAGCTATACACATAACAGTTGCAGTGCCACTCAGAGCTTTAAAGCGCAAAAGTCTGAGGGGCACTGCCAATGCGTCCGTCACTCTTAGACATAAGTTGACAAGTCCCATGTACCTGTAATTTCACCAGCACCCGCACCCTTTAAAACCGAATGCTGACAATTACTGCTTGGCGGCAGAAATAGGTATGGTGGCAGTACTTCCCTGGACGAACTGTTTCACAAGGAGCTCTACTGCTACTAAAAATAATTATAACAAATTAATGGAGTTATTATACAAAAAATATATAAATATATAACGTGGTGAAACATTGTGAAATTTAATAAAAAAAATCATAATAGCTAAGTAGTGGTCAAAAAATAACCTAAAACCTAAGACTACATTTATAATTAGATTTAGTAGATAAATTAATACCAATTATGAACAATTTAGGTATTTAAATATATATACCGAGATTTTTTTTAATTCACAAATAAAATAATACTTACATTTAAATCTATAATCGACATACTTATAATAAATTCGATCAAGAAGTGGGGAACTTGTCCCTCGACAATATTTTTTTTTAATTTGTTTCTGTTCGATTGTTGCATGTTGTGGCAAACTTAACTGAGAAATACGTTAGCACTAAACCATTTATGTTGCATATTCCAAGTTTGAATGAATTAAGTATATCACTAATATTTCATAGATTTCTCTGAAAAAAGTCGTAAAAACAACTTTCTCTGGATGGCATACAGACGCAAGTTCAAGTCCTGTCCGATCGCAAGAATTTTGCTTTGTAATACATCGTGAAATTCATTAAACTTAAAGTTAATTAAGCATGAGATTTGGTGGTTGCCGTAAATAAACAAATATAACAAAAAAGTATGTATACTGTGTTTCGGTTTCGAAGGGTAAGTATGCTGGTGAAATTACAGGCACATGGTACTTGTGAACTTATGTCCCAGGGTGTCGGACTCAGTGGCAGTGCCCCTCAGATCTTTGGGATTTAAAGCTCTGTGTGGCACTGCAACTGTCACGGACAAGCTTGTAGCCTACCATCAGGCGTACGACTTGTTCGTCCCGTCACTTGATATTATAAAAAAAAGCAATAATTGAATTAGTATAGAAACATAATAAATCTTATCTCTGGATACTGACAACACTTTACATTCCGTGACTTTACTAATAATTTGCGTTATCTGTCTAACAATATGTATACGTAATCTATGATGTTATTTTTATTTTCAGAACACCGCAAATGATAATAGCACAGGCATATCAAGTTTTTGCTGGAGCTAGATTTTTCAATGAGACGACACCAGATAGAGTAAGGCCCGTTGCGAACTTCTCGATACCCGATAATTTCATTTATTGGTCTCGTTTGAATGATATCGCAATAGTCACGGTAAGTACAAAATTCGGAATACCCACAGACATAATATCTAAATAGACACCGTAAGTGTCGCGATCTGTATGAAAACCAAGCGTGCTACATTTTTTGTACCTTCGATGACGTCATAAGCGCCATGTAGTGATGGGAAACCTCCTTCGGCACTAAAGCGATTGATTAAGTCGAAGACGCGGACACAGCACGTATGATTGATTTTAACAATGACATTTAACAATGATTTTTCATTTGTTGATTAAAAGAAGCCGTGAAATATTAATATAGTTAAACAATACCAGAATAAGATAATGAAGTCCTTTATTAATACGTGCTTTAAAAAAGAAGTTGCTTCGGAAAACTAAAAAAAACATCGGCAAACTTAATAGAATATTTTAAATTTTTATTGAATTGATATTCAATTATTTTTTGTGAAATTATTCCAGTAGTTTGTTATAATTATTAATATAAAGATCGAACACTCAGAAAAAATCCTTCGATCCGGCCGGATTCGAACCGACGAATTCTAGCTTACCGTGCCAGACGCTATACCAACTAAGCCACGGAACGAACCAGCGGACCTCAGGAATCTTTCTACGTGCTTGCGTCGTATCTTTGTATTTGGTTTTTTTAACGACTTTTTAATCGTAGCGCCATCTATGAGAAATCTATGAAAGTTTTATCACCCAGTTAGATATCTTTAGAGTTACCAGCCCTAGCGAGAGATGTCGCTATTCACTGTATTTTAAATTTTTATTGAATTGATATTCAATAATTTTTTGTGAAATTATTCCACTAGTTTTTTATAATTATTAATACAAAGATCGAACACTCAGAAACAAATCCTTCGATCCGGCCGGATTCGAACCGACGTCTTCTAGCTTACCGAGTCAGATGCAATACCAACTAAGCCACGGAACGAACCAGCGGACCTCACGAATCTTTCTATGTGCTTGCGTCGTACCTTTGTATTTGTTTTTTTTTTCAACGACTTTTTAGTCGTAGCGCCATCTATGAGAAATTTATAGAATATTTTTACACTTTTCGAGGTTTTAAGAATTATCATTCCTTTGTTTCCTAAATCGTTAAGAATCGAGAACTGTGTTGCATCACAAGCCTGTGTTGACCAAAAACATATGGAAGGGGCAGTACCACGAAACTGAATGCATTATACGAAAGTATAGCTCGTTATTCATGGCCTACTAAAGAAAATTACATAACTGTGGAAGGAAACGGCCGTGTTTAGTTCTCTTCACACGGCTGTGGTATTCTTGCAGGTTCTAATGGCACAATTAGGTAATGTTCGCGTTTTCGACTGATGTTTAACTACGATAACGTGAGGGCGCGTTCTGAAGCACAGCAGCGGCAACTAAGCGTTTGTAGCTTGCATTGGGCACGCAGAGTAGGTACACTTGCGGCGTCTATTTAGATATATGTCTGTGGGATTACTATAAGTAGAAACTTTTTGACAAATATTGGAATAAAGTACAGCTGACAATATTCGTTTTACTGTAAATCATGATGTATTGCTACTATAATATTAATTTACTTTTGGTGAATTTACTCGACAAGTTTGTTGTAATTATTAATACAAAGATTGAACACAAAGCAAAATTCCTTCGATCTGACAGGATTTCAACCTGCTACAGACGCAGGTATGAGCTGAAGGAACGTTTTTTCTATGTTGCAGAATTTGAAAGAACTTAAACACTTTGAGTTCTTAGGTTTTGGCGATTGTAACAAATTGGCAAAGAAAAGTATTTTATCGGATCTAAAACCGTTTTTTTTTTCAAACAACAAACATTTCGGGCTCATTACCATGATTATGAGACTCGGAAGAACTCGTAACGTTGGCTCTGAAAAGTGTCGTTTTTATTTTGACTTTCAATTATTTTGTGAAATCTAGTTTAAAGTGGTATAGTACTATTGTGCCTTAATCGAAGATTAAAACGCGAAATTATACGAATCTCGAACTAAAAACTCGTATCGGCCCGTTCTAAGGAATCCCGAGTCAATCCAAGCACACCGCTTCAAATAGCCTATCCTCTTTGTGGCGGCCATATTTACAGAAACATAATTTAACGAAGACATGGCTCAAAGTCCATGTATCCAAGCCAAAATTATTAATAAAAAAATCGTAACGTTGGATTGTTCCAAAAATAAATATACGCGATTTTAGATCAAAAGAAATGTTTCCTAACTAAAACGCTCTTAAGTGTAGTGGTTCGTTAATACATAAATAACGCACACACACATTCATAGCCCCGCAATAGGGATACCCTGTATCGCGGGTGCCAGGGACGTACACATACACCACTCGTAGGCCACAATCGAACCCGGGACATCTGTGTGGCAGTCCGGCATGGTAACCGTTCGGCCACAGAGGCAGTTAATATGCATAGACATACCACACGCAAAATAGGCGCGTTGTCGTCGAGTTGCGGACACCAGCCCGTTACACCAAGTACCAAGATGCATAGACATAGCAAAATTAAAATTAGAATTCTGTTGAATGTAACAATTGAAACCTTAAAATATATTGCACAAATAAAAGTCTTTTTTTTTTATAATGTCAAGTGACGGGATGGATAAGTTGTGCGCCTGATGGTAAGCTAAACGCCTGTCCAGTTGCAGTGCCACTGAGAGCTTTAAGTCGCAAAGATCTGAGGGGCACTGCCTCTACGCCCATCACCCTGAGACATAAGTTAATAAGTCCCATGTGCCTGTAATTTCTCCAGCACCCTTACCCTTCAAAATCGGAACACAGTAAGGCTGACATTACTGCTTGGCGGCAGAAATAGGTAAGGTGGCAGTGTTTCCCCGGACAAACTCTTTCACAAGGAGCTCTACTGCTACTAAAGTAGTCTATTTAGTAGTAAATAGTCTATTTTGACAAATGTTTCACGAGTTAAAAGTATACAATTTGAAGTTATGTTTTCGCTGATTTTTCTGTTTTATTCTATATGACTGCACTGAAGAGATCAATTGTCGATTTCTGCATTATCTCGTGCTTATAGTTGCTGGCCGTACCCGCCGCAAGTAATTTCATAGATTCCTTACTCAAAGTTATTTTTACCTTATCTGTTATTCTCGAAGCATCATTTTTGTAAGTCAAAAAGCCGTATACTTTTTAATATAGATAGTGAAACCAGTTTTTACAAATAAATGAGTCAAGGATATCTACAAATCTTTTGATAAAGACGAGTACAATGGTTTTGATGATACAAAATCAATATTACTGCCACAATTTTAGGCTAAAATAACAAGCCGGCCGTTTCTTGCTATATGTTTTAGTAATTACAGATTGTGGTCAAATAACATGACAGCCACGACGCGAATTTCGTATATTTTTTATTTAGTCACAACGCATTCTGGCTGTTTATATAAGGGCCATGACACGAATAACGTGTTATGGATATTTTAAAGAGCTCACTTGTGGACTTTTTTTTCGCTCAATGAAGTGATTTCGCCTTCGAGTCTAACGTTATATACATACCTTGCTTATATATCTCACTTATTTCTACTACGATAATGTGAGCGTTACGTAACTATTAACTATTAAGTCTGTGGCATTACTGTGTTCCGGTTTTGAAGGGTACGGGTGCTGGTGAACTTACAGGTACATGGGACTTGTCAACTTACGTCTCAGGGTGACGAGCGCAGTGGTTGTGCCTCTCAGATTTATTCGTCCCATTACTTGACATCATAAAAAAATAAGTAAATATACAATTTTGAAAAGATGCATTATTAATTGAACGACTAGTGACACTTATTTAATTATGTACAGCGACTCCATAAATGTTCATGTCTTCTATTCACCAACACCAGTGTGAAATGGAATGATAAAGTATCATAATGACTCGTTCACATAAAACA